GCTCCCGCGCCGCGCTCGGTATTTTCCAGGCTGCGGAGGTAAAGCTGACAGGGCTTCGAGCCCCGCCCCGCCCCGCCGGGTCCTAGCGCCCGCCCCGGAGGGGACCTGGCGGGGGGAGGGGGACAGTCCTTGGGCAGAGGGACCGGGGGACCGGAAGAGGGGTGTTTGGCCAAGATTAAGTGGGCGCTCAGAGAAAGCGCGCAGAGGTGCTAGAGAGGAATTCTGGAAGTTAATTGTGAGCCCCTTCTCTGTCCCCGCCCACCCCCCCACAAGTGCACACCTCTGCCACAACCTATTTACACACCAGCACGTGGTCCCCGGAACACCCCAAAGATCCAAAAGCGGGCACACCCCCCACGGACAGTCAGGAGACCTGCCGGCGGGGTTGACAGCCCCAAAGCAAGTCACTTGGGCCCACAGCTTGCAATTCCAGTGACCTACGGGCACACCAAACCTAAACACACCCAAGCCAGTGGAGTGTGCAAACACAGCTGGAAGTTAGCCCAACCACCTTCAAGGTTCAAGGTTCACAGGCTGGCCAGACCTGGGCAAAATCACCACTCCCGACTCACTGCCACCCGGGAGCTTTACTAGCACTCTTCCTGACTCTGGGATCATTGTCTACAGCACTGTCCCCACTCCTAGTTCAACAGCACACACAAATCTCCCAGGGACTAGATTAGGTCCACAAGTGCATCCAGCTCTCCTGCCCTGGGGCTCTCCTGCCCTGGGGCTCCCCGGTCCCTGTCCGGGCAGAGCTGGCCTGAGCTCCCTTGCCTCTGCAAAGATTTGTCAGCCAGCATTCCAGCCACCCCTTCCAGGCTGGGAGGTGGCCCTTTGGCCCCTGGGTCCTAGTGCCAGCTCTGCCTCCATCTACTCTGTGTGAACTGAGGCCAGGAGACTAACTTCTCTGAGGCCAGGCAAGGATGAGTATGGCAGCCTGTCCCGGTGACTGACTGGCCCAGGGCCACAGAGGGCAGGGAGAGCTGTGGTGTGCTCCTCTGGATGGGCAGCTAACAGGGCCCAATAAGTGCCTGCCACGGGCTCAGCGTCAGCATGCATCCATGGCCATATGACCAGAGCCCAGGTCTCAGCCTCCTCCACCCAGGACTCCCTGCTCTGCTGGCTGCCCCTCTTCCCTCTGGACTTTGGTTTCTCATCTACAGAAGGAGGGAATCAAAAGGCACTTGCTAGCCTCTGTCACCCACAGCTCTGGGGTGGAACAGCTTTTCTTACAGGTGCTAAGAGAAAACTCAGGAGTCAGCAAGGTGGGTTCACAAATAGAGGTGTTTCTTCCTGAAGTGCTCCGAGCTCTGAGATGTTTGTAAATCAGGCCCAATCTGTTTAAATGAGCTAGGCAGAGCAGACAGTCATGACAGCAAGGGACCCCAAAGGGCATTCTGCAAAGTGACTTGTACAAAATGAGCTGTAGATCCCTGTGAGGTCTATGTGATGGCCTTAGATCTTCCTGCCTCCCATCTGCAGTGTGCGAAGAGGAGTCAGATTATCACCACCGCCCCCCTTCTATACTCATGCTCTTTAGAAGTGTCTGGGAATGAGTAGGCGGCAGGGGTGTTGGCACTGAGCTTGGGAGGCCCAGGCTCTGCCCCTGGCCCAACTCTCCACGAGTCATTGCTTTCCCCAGGGCTCAGTGATTCGATTCTGACACTGTCACTTCCAGGCTAGTGGGAGCCCCAGAGGGAGCCCTACCAGAGCCAACAGCTGCTTTGTGAACCATAGACTCTGGGATCAGCCACATGGAAAAGAGATGGCAGCACTGGCCTGGTGGTTCCGGCCTTTAGGGCCCCAATAACACATCCCAGTGAACAGGAGGCACCGAAATACTAATTCTCTGATGCCCACTATTCAGTCCAGGGAGAAGATAAGGCTAGGTGACAGCAGGAGGCGGCAGAGAACACTGACAGAAGGACCCCACCCCCACCCCAGAGAGCTAGCAATCTGAGACAAACCTGAGGAAGTAGAGATGGCAAAAACCAAATCATCACACACATCGAAACATAGATTAGTCAAAATGAGTCTTCGGGGTCTTGGGGCAGTAAAGGTGGGTGTCTTGCCACTGCTGGGCTCAGGCAGCCATGCTGGGGTCATCTACACATCCTGGGTTCAGGTAGATTAGCTGGCCCGGGGTGGACAGAAAGGCATCACTCCATCCTACTCACTCATTTGCCCTTCAAGCCCCCTTCCTCCCCAGGAATTCAGGCATCACTGGCTCCACTGCTTCTAACAGCCTCTTGAGCATGAGAAGTAGATCTGTAACCCTGTCTCACAACACCTCTGAGCAGCAGAGATAAGGGCCTGCTACAAGAGAGTAGACAAGTGACCCAGGAGGGGTAGGAGTGGGTCCAGGGGTAGCCTCTGGAATCTTAGTCCTAGAACTAAGCTGTCCCTGCTTCCCACTGCCTGGCAATAGACTTGTGTTCAAATCCTGGCTCTAGCATTTTCCAGCTGTGTAACCAGAAGCAGGTGACATACCCTCTCTGTTTCCTCATCTGGAATTATAATACCTTTTGAGAATTACTCCAGTGAAGAGTTGTATAGATGCTAATTTCACTCCTAGATAAGTAACCCAAAATATAACTGGAGGGTGGTACCGGATGGGGAAGACTGTATTATCAAAAATGTGCGGTTCCAACAAAAAGCATGAAGGTAACATCTTGATATGGTTGGTAAGATTCTCATGAAAGATTAAACAGTAGAAAATATTGGCAAAGCCTGACCCCTGCTCTGCCCATTCAGCCTCCTGCCCCAGACCCAGCCCTCCCCTCACCCAGTGGATGGAGGTGCCGTTGTGGGCCCCCCGGGCCGAGCTCAGGTCTGGCTCTTCTCTGAGTCCCAGCTCCAGAAAGGGCATCGCTCAGCAGGAGCAGGGGTGGGTGTAGAAGGTGAGAGTGTGTACAAGGAGGTGCTTAGCAAACTGAGAAGCATCTTGGGAGTGTGAAGAGCCATTACCCAGGGCGCTGAGCAAGCCTGGGCCTTACACGTGCCCCTTGCAGAGGCAGAGTGCAGCTGAGGCCCTGAATCATACAGAACGACAGAGTTGTTGGAGGACTTCTAGTTCCTCATCGTGTGACTCCAGGAATGGGAGCCAGGGGGTCATTTGGAGAGGTTTGGAGAGATTCCCACCAGACTGCTCACCGTCACAGACACCTGTTGGAACAGCACTAAGGCACCTGCCTGAAGCCACACCTGAACCTGGTCCTTAACACTCTTTTGGGTCCCTGGACCAGAGCTAATGTTATCTCCCCCGTCCCCCACCCCGACCCATAGAGAAATACAGGCCCAGGTAGCAGAGACAAGCAGAAATAAAAGCCCAGGTCTCCTGGCTCGTAACTTGAGGATCCTGCCCACCGTTACACACAGCACCCCTTCCATGTACCTGCAGGGAGCTCAGTGCAGTCACCACATTCTGTCAGCCTCAAGATTTAGCCTCCCCCTTGCACCTCCCACCCTGCCCACTGTCCTGGACAATGTGGGGCCTGCATGACTTGACCTGCTCCTAAATGCCACCCCTACTCACCATCTAGCCAACCAGACAGATGGTGCCTCGATCACCCCTCTGGGAAATGAGAAGGCCCCCAGTGGCCCCTGCTGCCCCCCACCCCTCCTCAGGGGTTATTTTGTGTGCCAGTTTGGGTAGAGCAGATTCCCAGGTTGTCCAGGGAAACAAGGCAGCATCCTGGGGGCACTGTTCTAGAAGAGGAGGTAGTGGCTTGTGTGATGTCACCAGGAAGCAGCAGAGTGGACAGGTAAGTTCCATAGGCCTCTGGGAAGGAACTTGGCCTTGCGAGGAACGTGTCCTTTACAGCGGCACTAAGAGTATACGCCAGCCCCACATGGACCCGGATCTAAGTGTTTACTCAGGGTGGGTCTCCTGGCCCTACTGGGCCCTATGAGCAAACAGCCCAATCCTGCCCAGAGGGAGCTACTAGAGGCCCAGAGAACTATAGCTACCCAGTCACTCACTCAATCACCCACACCCTCCCTCCTCCTGGTAACACTGCACAGCCACACGCTGACATCCTGACATCCTATCACAGATACATACCGTCGGTCTCACACCTGGCCAGCCCAACACAGGTACCTGTGTGTACACAGTCATACACAGCAACAAAGTGAGATGCCAGAGAAAAATGCAAGTTGGTTAGTGAAATTTTAATTTCAGACAAGCAACACATAACTTTTTACAAGTACATCCCAAATATTTGCTGAATCTCGCAACCTTACACCTGAGGCACTGACACACCCATGTCCCACAACCCTGAGGCACCACACAGTCACACACCAGTTCCTACACAGACTCAGGTGTGCTGGCACATCTGGGGAATGTGCACACTGCACCTAAGGTATTGGGGGGCAGGTGTCACATGCGCACATGCGCCCAGCTGTGCATTCATCTCAATGAAGAAGCATAGGGCCAGGCTAAGTCTTTCCTACTCACTTTCCTACTCACGGCAGCCTTAGGTGGAAGGTTGGGCAGAGACCATTAGCCCCATTTGGACAGCTAAGGGAAATAAAACTCAGCAAGAGACAGAACCTATCTGATGTGTCCTGGGCACAGGAAGTCAAATGCTTCCTGGAGCCAGGCTTGTCCCTGGGTGTGTCCAAGCACCCTGGACCTACCCACAGCACTCAGGCCAGCAAAGCCTTCCAGAGCAGCCTCAGCAACAGTACCATCCTGGGTGCTCCGGGAATGAGCCCTTGGTCTCTTCCAACACTCAAAGGGTGATCCTGAGTTGTGCCCCAGAGAC